GATCTTTGGAAGGATGCAGAGTCAGAGAAATTCTGGGCAGTGGTGACCTTGGTTGCTACTGGAAATGCAGCTCATATGGCTCACTTGGAAAGAGGTCCTTTTACACGAGGCTACAAATATAGTGACTACCTGCCGAGAACGTTTGAGCCTCCTGAGGCACTGGTATCCTATCATGCCCAGGAAATTTGGCTTGGGTCCCCTCTACTGAGGAAATTGTTCATACAAGATGGAGCCATGTATTTAATAGTTTGCAGGTAGGTGAAAAGAAGACTGCAATTTCTGCAGGGCTCACTCCAATTGCAACTGGTATTGCTATTCATGCTTATTATCTGCAGTCCAATTTAAAAACTACATAAGTTACTCTTATACTGCTGTGAAAATTTGACAGTTGGGACATGGAGATGAAAAGCAAAGGAAATCTCCAAGGCAGCAGAAGTTACCATCCAGAGAAAGCAGTATTTGGTGCTCATCAATTCTCGGCCCTGCCGTTTTCTGCTGTACCCTTATTTTATCTCGTGAATTCCAGGAAGCTCAGAAAATTCATGTGCAATCAGAATTCTGGATTAAAACTGTAGTTAATAAGCATTTACCATAATTAAATGGCAAGCACCATCCTGTGGGAGAGTCCGAGCACTGAAAAATTCACTCATGTTGAAGGTGGAAGTCAATGTGTACCAGCCAGATTCCTGACATGTTGGCAGGTTCAATTGTTTTAATCTGTTACCTAACCATTTTTGGGAGGATAAAATGCACCCCAATATCACACTTGCCTTTTCACATGATGTTTGCAAGAATTATATAACACATTGCCACATTACTCAATATAAAACACATTTTATACAAATTGCCATGTTGTACTGCATGTAAGTAAGCTTTATTAATTAGTATTTCTTGAAATTGACTTTAAATAACAGTTACAGTTCCATAAAGCAAGCATCACTACCAAAATTACTAAATTTCCTTAGAAAGAAATAATTTAAATCTTGCAGCAATTTCAGCCTTAAAGGCAGCAAATGAACTTACAAAGCTCCAACCAGGCCCAGATGGCGCATCAGCAAGCGCTATGCTTGTGTGGTCCAGCCTCTCCAACAAATGCAATGCTGTGGGTCTACCACCACCACTTCATGGACATCCATCTCCTTCACTGTTTGCGTTGATGAGAGGACCCCCACTGCTTACCTCTTTTAAGCGATCACCATTCAATCCTGGTATGCCACCAATTCTGCCACCCGGGAGGAATTCTACCACCTATGGCTCCATCACATTTACAGGTAGGAGATGGTTCAGAAAAGATTTACTAGGATCTTACTGGGACGAGAGGGTATAAGTTATAAGGAGGCGTTGGATAGGCTGGGATATTTTTCACTGGAGCGCAGGAGATTGAGGAGTGATGTTATAAAGGTTTATAAAATCATGAGAGGCATTCTTAAGGTGAATAGCAAAGGTAGGCGAATTCAAAACTGGAGAGCTTATTTTTCAGGTGAGAGAAAAAAGATTTAACAGGGCCAAATGCAGGCAAATGGGACGAGTTTAGTTTGGGAAACTTGGTCGGCATGGACAAGTTGGACTGAAGGGTCCGTTTCCATGCTATATGATTCTATGATTCTGTGACAAAGACCAGTACAGCACAGGAAGACTGCCCTGACATGTAATGCCTTTCTAAACTAAAAACCTTTTGCCTCAATGCAGTCAATGTCCTTCTATTCCCTGCCTGTTCATATATCTGTCAATATGCCTCTTAAATGTTGATATTATATTTGCCTCCACCACCTCCTCTGGCAGCACATTCCAGGCATTTATCACCCTCTGTGTAAAAAACTTGTCTCTCACATCTCCTATAAACTTATCCCCTTTTACCTTAAACCTATGTCCCCTAGCAATTGACATTTCTACCCTGGGAAAAGACTCCGAATATCCATTCTATCCACACCTGTCATAATTTTGGATCCTTCTACCAGGTTGCATCTCGTCCTTTAACGTTCAAGTGAAAACAAACCAAATTTGTCCAATCTCTCCTCATAGCTAAATTTATCACCGAACTTTGGATCTCAGATGAAAGTCATAACTATTGATCATAAGGTAGTGTACAAACAAAATAATCACTCACAATTCTGAACTTTAAACTATGTTGTGATATTAAAATGTAAGATATGTTCAAAATTTTCTTATAATCTACTTTAGCTTGATCAAAGGATTCCTGGTTCAAATAAACCAACCCTCAGTTTAACAGTAATGAATTAATATACAAAAGGGAACTTAGTAAACATTTAAATTAAAACTTAAGCATGCAAGTGTCTTAATAAAGTTACAGTTGGAAGATGATCTGTATTTATCAATATGAGAAAGGGTGGTTCACAAATAGACATTCAATTAAACGGTCACCTTTTTAAAATATTTGTTCATGAGTGTTGCTGGCAAGGCCATCATTTACTGCCCATCCTTAACTGCCCAGAAGGGATTTAAGAGTCAGCCACATTGCTGTGGGTCTGGAGTCACATGTGGGCAAGACTAACTAAAGACAGCTGACTTCCTTCCCTAAAGGACATTAGTGAACCAGTTGGATTTTTAAGATCACCACTAAACTAGCCAGTTATTCCAGAATTTTATTGAATTTGAATTTCACCATCTGTGATGGTGGGATTCAAACCTATGTCCCCAGAACATTAACTTTGGGTTCTGGATTACTAAGCCAGTGACTTTACCACAATGCCAGCCCCTCTCGATTTTGCTAAACCTTATTTTAATTATTATGGGTGATTTTAAATCACAAGTTTCACTGTATCTCATTTGTACTAAACAAGCAATAACAGCAGCGGATTCAGTGGAGAATTAAATGCCAGTTAAAAGGAACAGAATACAAAGTACAAAGGACAAAAGCTGTATTGAAATTTCGATTGAAACCTAAAACTTAATTCAAGATCTAGAATTCAAATCTATAGACAGCAAACGATGACAATATGATTTTACTTTTTGCTACGTCCGATTTTCTTATTTTCAAGACCATATTTATCTGTTAATATTTAAAAGTTTAACCATTGCTGACATTTCATCATTTTTAAAGAAAAATGATTAGGCAATTTACAACCTTGCAGACTCAACACTGATATTAACCATTGCTGTCATTCTTTCAGAGAGCAAGTGGTGGTAATGGTTCTTCTGTGGCAATGTGCTGGACTCCCAGGTAAATCATTT